TTCCATAATTTCATAGGTACTTATAATTGTAACACTATTGTATAACATCGTTATAAGATAACCTAATATCTTTATACATATAAAAATAAATATCATTCCAATACACCATATCTTACTTGTATGGAGAGTTCTGTTGCTGTTAAAATCACTTCAGAAACAATCAACCTAAATGCTGCATTTCTTAAAAAAAAAAAAACAAAAAAAACCCCTGCATTTTTATTTAAAAATCTAATTCAGTTGCTTAGAACAATGCTGAAAATAGAAGTCCAGGTACAGAACATACTCATCTTGTTTTCAAGTTAGGAAAGGATCTGTATTTTTGTTCTTAAAAGCTTTATCAGCACTTTTGCAAAGAAAATAATAACTGTATTGACTGAGTAAGCATATCATCTCTGGAATTAAAAATACTAGCTTACTGGCCAGGTCCCAGCTTCAAGCGCAAGGTAGAACTGACACTTACTGATGCAGCTAGGAGAGTAGTTTCATGATGCAGTGTTTCTCAAATATTATAGCAAATTTTTTGAAAAAAATCTTACAGAATTACTGTTCCAGTATTCCCAGTAACTGAAGTGAATTTACAATATAGTAAGAAAAAGGGGTATGTTCCTGTCTTAAAAGTCAGACAACATAATTTGTGTTAAAGTTATACAGAAATATGTTTGTAAACATTAATTTAGACTCTAGACATAAAAACTGGCATAAAAGTTGTAGCTGTTCATACAGAACCAGGAAAGACCTAGTTGTCTTTGAAACTTCTACGCAGTGGCTTTCGTACTACCTTTACTTTCCTATTTGTGCCTCCCACACAACAGTCCCGTGTGTGAACTCATCCAACACGATGCTCGCAACTCGTGGAGCTCATCAGCTAAGCATCCTGCCTCTGTTCTGCAAAGCATTTGAGAACATTCTTCGGAGCTTTGCTTTATTTGAGCACAGATATCTTGCAGATGTTTAATTTAAAGCTCATGTGTAGTCCCACTGAAGTAAATGGGATTACTAAAGTACTTAAAGTAATTCCCTGCTGAATCAGGCTTTTAAGGGTAAGAATAAATGTGCCTAATCTTTATTCATGCATCAGATATCTATAGACTAATAGTTTAAACTCAGCAGTTTTGTATCTAGTTAATGTTAAATCTCTGCAGTTTAATATCTTCACCTGCTGCATCTACTACCCCTGACCAAGAACCTTTTTAAATATAAACCTGGAGGACAATTTTTGCGTACATCAGGCACTCATGTTTTGCACACATACAGTGTCATCAGACCTAGAGCTGTGGTGACTTACACAGCAACACAAATACTCAAGGTGAACTTTCTCTATTTCACCAAGATACAAAAAAATTTGCACTTTTTTGTAAATGATAAATAAACTGCACCTGGACCTTGTATCCTCTGAATGTTACATATATCAAAGACTTCAGAAATGAACTGTTGTAAGGCAGATAAAAAAAATAGTGGAAGCAATTCCATTCATTTTTTACACAACACGTAAACTCTTTCGTCTACCTGTAACTGCTTAATTCCTGCACATGATGGAGTTTTGGAGCTATTTTCAACTTGATACTGGGGGGGAGTGTCCAAGGAAACAAAATCCGTGGATCTAAGGTACTTAACACACACATGCTACACGTTGCATAGGATCACTACCTACAGCCTGACCAGAAGAAAACACGAAGTGGCATGAACTGAAGTTGAGACTCGTCAGTGCAAAATCTGTCAGAAGAAAAAAAAAAAAAAAAAAAAAAATCTACAACCTCAGCAGCAATGAGACACTCGTGACTTCTTACATCATCAAGACCTGGCTGAGTAATGCTAAGACTTCTCTGCAAAGCACTTCTCTCCTCACGTCTATCAAAATTTATCCCTGCTGAAAATATAGTAAGAGAAGGCTGGCAGTGATGAATTCATCTTGTCATCAGGCGTCAACTCAATTTAAACTGATTACTTCATTTTAATGCATACACCTGGAAATATAAACCACGTACAAAATTACCATTCATTTTAGCATCATTTGCAGGTCTCTAAAAAAAGACCCACTGACAGACTTGTGATAACAGAAGAAAATATTTATGATTCCTTCCTAAAATTTTCATTGTTCACCTCTGTCCCATCCAATCTTGTTGGTTCATCTGATCAAGTATTACACCTATAAAATTTAAATCAAGGGGATAAAACAAAGGACTAACACTACTTATTTCATTAATGCAATGGTACAACATCTTCTATTATACAGATGTAGGAACTTAAGGTGGCCCCCATTAGTTACAGGTTTGGGATTACAGTCATCAGACCAACAGCTTTAGGGATAAACAATTTATGTCCAAGTATCAGTACAGTAACATATATAGATCAGTTGTGTAATTACCCGGGTCATTACAACGGTAAATCCAGTTATTCAGTAGTACAATTATTCAGGAGGAAATGACAGTAAAAACAGTAATTCACCAATGCTGAGCCAAAAGTAATACCCAGGCACACCGGGATTTGCACAACCGTGGTTATCAGCCAGGCCAGCAGGAAGCTGGGCACGGCTGCTTCTTCAGAGGAGCTGTTCGGACCCACGGAAGGGCTGGGGGAGTCCCACGCTTGCTCATTGGACCCACCCCTTCCACTGCTGAGTCACATAAGCCCTGTCTGGACTTGCTAACCAGTCATCCCACCCCACCTCCGCTCATCTGGTCTTGCCCTTGCCCTAAGCCCCATATAGCTGCTTACTCACACCCCCCATGGTGAGATGAGAGAGAGAATCGGAAGAAGAAAAGTGAAAAAACTCATGGGCTGAGAGAAAGACAGTTTATTAGGTAAAGAAAAAGCTGCATGCACAAGCAAAGCAAGACAAGGAATTCATTCACTCCTTCCCATGGGCAGGCAGGTATTCAGCCATCTCAAGTAAAGCAGAGCTCCATCACGCATAATGGTTTATTTGGGAAAATGAACGCCATCACTCCAAACGTCCCCCCCTTCCTCCTTCTTCCCCCAGCTTTATACGCTACACATGACATCATATGGCGTGGGATATCCCTTTGGTCAGTTGGGGTCAGCTGTCCCAGCTGTGTCCCCTCCCAACTTCTTGCCCACCCCCAGTCTACTCGCTGGTGGGTTGGGGTGAGAAGCAGAAAGGGCCTTGACGTTGTGTAAGCCCTGCTTAGCAGCAACTAAAACATCCCTGTATTATCAAAATTGTTTTCAGCACATATCCAAAACATGACCCCATACTAGCTACTGTGAGGAAAATTAACTCTGCCCCAGCCAAAACCAGCCCATTCTCCACCTATTATTCCATACTGTTTATTCAGATGTCACACTATCTAACAGAACTTCATTAACCATTACCCTCTTCCCATCCTTTGATATAATACACAGATATCATTCTATGGACCACCCCTCTGAAATGTCAGTAAAATTTCCAGAAATGTCCACAAAATATCCACTGAGTTCATTTAGTCCATGCCTTTGGGCATGGTGGTCACTCAGGACAGGAGAGGCGCTGTGTTGCGTGGAGTTACTGGGTACCAAAGCCAGCTCAGGTCGGGTCACTGCTGCACTTGCACTGCTTCTTGTAAGGCTTGTCCTCCGTTGGGTCAGGTGGTTCTTGTTACAGTAATTCCCATAACATGCAACTCAAATCATGGGTGACAACAATTTAATTACCATTAAATTACAATCTCCACCCCTGGACCCTTTGGGCCAGACCATAGGGCTTAACATTGCAATGAATTCTTTCCCTTGCCCCTGATCCAGCTTGGATTTATCCACAGCCTGCAGTCCCTTAAGGCTGTACCTGCTCCAAGTGGAGCCTTATCTATGAGCCACAGTCTCTCCAGGTCTATACCTGCTGCAGCACAGATTTATCCACAGTCACAGTTGCTTTGAGGTTCACCTGTTCCAGAGTGGCCTTCTCCACGGGCCACAACACCTTCAGAGATATGCCTGCTCCAGTGTGGCCTTACCCACAGCCACAGTCCTTTCAGAAGTAAACCTGCTCCAACATGGTCTTACCCATGGTTGCGGTCCCTGCAGGGGTGTAGCTGCTCTGTCATGGGCTTATCCATGGCCACACGCTTTGAGGTGCTCCAGCATGGCCTCATGCACAGCCACAGATCCTTCAAGGTGTACCTTCTCCAGCGTGGACTTATCCTTGGGCCACAATCCCTTCAGAGGTATACCTGCTGCGGCACAGATATAACCAGGGCCACAGATGCTTCAATATGTACCTGCTCTGATGTGGACTTATTCATGGCCACAGACACTTCGGAGTGTCCTGCTCCGAACAGCAGTACAGCAAGTAATGAAAGCAAAAAGCAGCCACTAACGAGCACCGGACTCTAACATACAGTAAGGCAAGCAAGCCCTCATGGCAAGCACAGGAGCCTGCCAATTAATACCTAAACAGCAATAAAAGCTATAAATTCGATCTAGCACATTCCAATCAAACCTGTTGTTATCTTGAACCCTTCAAGCTCCATGTTGAGTGCCAAAAAGGACTGTTGTGGTTTAACCCCAGCCATGAGAAAACTCATGGTCTGAGATAAGAACAGTTTAATAGGTAAAGCAAAAGCCACATGTGCAAAGCAAAGCAAAACAAAGAATTCATTCCCTGCTTCCCATTGGCAGGCATGTGTTCAGCCATCTCCAGGAAAGCAGGGCTCCATCACACGTCACAATGACTTGGGAAGACAAAACTCCGTAACTTCAAATGCATCCCTCCCTTCCTCCTTCTCCCCCCAGCTTGATACGCTGAGCATGACATCATATGGTGTGGGATACCCCTTTGGTCAGTTGGGATCAGCTGCCCCAGCTGTGTCCCCTCCCAGCTTCTTTTGCACCGCCAGGCTACTCGCTGGTGGAGTGGGGTAAGAAGCAGAAAAGGCCTTGACTCTGTGTAAGCCCTGCTCAGCAGTAATGAAAACATCCCTGTGTTATCAACACTGTTTCCAGCACAAATGCAAAACAGCCCCATACTAGCTACTATGAAAAAAATTGACTCTACCCAGCCCAAACCAGCGAACATGTCTTTGATCTTTTCTTTTTCTCTTTGCATGTGCGTCTCCAAACAGGTGCGCAGTCTTTCACCTATGTGTTTTCAAGCAGAACAAGAAATCCCAAAGCCCCTGGTTGGAACAGAAACAGGACTTCATACCATGCACTTCCTCCAATGAGAGAGGAGACAACAGGGGCGTGTATCGGTTACAGTGCTCAACTCAGTCCTGGAAAGTACAGATACTGCAACACTGAATTGTGAGAGTATGGCATAAAAATGTACACAGAACGGTGTCCTGTGAAGCACAAAGCTTGAAAATTTGCCCAAGTTGAACAGGTATGTTTACTATATGTAATACCTTAAGTTCATTTAGTTTTAAGCCAAAATTGCTTATAAGCGGGCTGAACTTCACATAAATTTCTGAAGCTTAACTGTCTCAACTTCTGATGGTTTGTGTTCAAATCTATCATTTGCAATTAAGTTTTTGATTTTACTCACTTCTGCTAACATAACCATTGCTATTTCCCCACTTTTCCAAACCATCTGTGTCCATACATACCACACCCCATGGTTTATATGACTGATGCCTTTAACAAAATACCCATCGAAGAGGAACATTTTCTTTCAGATTTTCTTCCAGTCCTGGTCTATAAGTGCGAAAGAACAAAAAGCTGAGGTGCCCTACGACGACAGCTTGCAATCCCTTCTCCGCCATTTTCTCCGCCATTTCTACAGTTCCGTGTTTCTCCTGCCATTTTTACCTGATTATCAAATATCTGGTGAAGGAGTACTTGGCAGGGTCTAGAGCTATTCAGTCACCCAGCAGCCATGGGGCTGAAGGCGTAACGAGGGATTCCTTACTAAGTTCCCAGCAGCGCTCCCTTTGGAAGGCCTTGGTACCACTCGCGTTCCCTGGTGCCCCGAGTTCCTAGAGCTCTGGTACTGCTGGTTTGCCCCTTCGGGAAGGTGGAAAAAGGGACAAAGCACAGCTCGGCCGCGCTCCGCAGCAACAACTGCAGCTTAAAACTGGCCTTAAAGCTCAGAGAAAGTAAAAATGAAAAATAGAATTAAAAATCACAGGTTCGGCTTGGAAACGCCCTCCCGTCGCCTACTCGCCGCAGGTGCCCGGGGGCAGCAGGGACCCGTCCGGGCGCCCCAGGGCCGGG